GGAGATGTCATAGTGCGACGAGAGGTTTCGGTTGAGTTCAAGAGGGGGGAGGAGACCTCAAAGATAGTAGGCGGTTGCATCGAAGTCCGCAATGAACATGAGGTAAGAGAGCATCGGGTTACCCGAAAAGGTTATGCCCGGGGACGAGTTTTCAAAATCCCCAAAAGGAGGAAAAGATATGACCACACACACACACACACAGTAGGGCTGACGTGACAAGGGAGTTCCTTGGCGACATGCCGACCCGGCCGACTTTCCTTCAGCCCTACGGGTGCCTTGGTGCCCAGGGGAGGAGGGCCCGGGTGACCGGTTCGACAGCTGACGTGAGATGGATATCGATCTGTGCAGCCCAAGATGGTAAGATCTCTCCATGGCAAATACGCTTGATTACGACATTTCGATGCTGGGAAATGGGCCAAGTGTGGGGTCCTTTTCAATATGTTTGGCATCGGGTGCTAGGGAGAAACGTTGCAGTATGTGGCTCACAAGTGATGCTGACGATGCGACGACCGAGTTTAGAACACTCAGAGCTGTGTCGTGTGATTCTACCTGAAACAGCTACCCAGCCGGCTAAGCCACGAACGCCGCTCCCGCTCCCGCTGCTGCTCCTGCTTCTCCGTCCCCTTCTGCTCCGGTAGGGGCTTGTCGAGGCTATGCTTGTCGTTCGTGCAGACGCTCTCGGCTTGTGTCGGCTGGCGCGACTCGTTCTTCACTGCCGCCAGCGACTTGAGGGCCAGGCAGAAGTCGCCTTCTTGCTCACCAAAGAAGCTGCGAGCCACATTGCGTGTCAGCATCGAGTCCCCCCAGTAGGAGGAGCCCAGCCCAGCCCAGCCCAGCCCAGCTAGGACGGGGTGGGGGGCTGCCGCAGAAGAAGGGCAAAACTCACCTCCGCATCATGAAGCTCACTCTCGTGATCCGGCTCAGGTCCAGCGGGTCTGCGTCCTCCTTCGGCTTGCCCCGGTAGGTGGCCTTGAACTCGGCAAAGGGCATCACCACTACGTCGTCGCCATCCGCGGCCCGGCCCTGCCCGTCGACCTCGAAGTCGAACTCCCAGCTCACGGTGCTCTGCTCGCGGCCGTCGGGCCTCTTGGGCAGCGCGTCGGCGTCCTTGAGCACGACGGTGTAGCGCTTTGCTGCTGCCGCTGACGTCTCCTCCTCCTCCTCCTGCTGCTGCTGCCCCTCCTCGTGACCAGGGGGAAAGGAGGAGAGGCACAGGACCAGGGAGTCGTACCCGGACAGGTCCCACCTCAGCGCGTCGACGGTCCGCTGGCTCGCGAAGCCCGCGCCGCCGAGGGTGCGGATGTCGAGGGTGCCGTGGAAGGTGGCAGAGTCGCGGGAAGGGGAGCAGGTCAGGTGGGAGACGCTGCTGCCGCCGCGGACGCGGTCGTCGGTGGCGGTCCAGTCCTCTGGGGACCAGGGGTGGCTGGCGGGCGAAGCATGTGAGCTTTTTCCCTGTCTGTTGCGCGATGTGGGTTGATTTGATTGGGGGGAGGAGAGCAGCAGGGAGAGGTGAGTGGACGGCCGGGTCCGGGAGTTGAGTTTGTTGTCACACGAGAAGGAAGGGGATGATGAAACGAGACGTCAAAGATAGAGAGGGTGAGTGAGGGTGGTTGCTATTCGAGGTAGGAGGACATGTGATGAGGCTCTGTCGAGAGGCAAGGGGTTTCATATCTTTGCCACCGCGCCGCAAGTGATTTGGGCAAGCAAAACGGAAGGGGGGGAAGGGTGAGTGTATTCAGGATGTACTCGAGAAAACGGAGAGACATGTAAGGGATTGTAGATCTGGATGATAACGGACCTCTTGCTGCCAAAGAGCACCTTGCTCTCGCCGCTCGGCGCTGTGGGCATGGCTTGGAAGGATTCCCAGATGCCGGGAAAAAGCCACACTCGGTATATGTCCCGTGTGGTTGCACCGGGAGATGCGCAATCCTCTTGTGAGGGGTGGCTTCTCTCGCTCTCTGAGACGGTGAAACAGCAAACCACCAGCCTTGCTCCGGGGCCTCTTCCTCCTGGCCCGTTGCCTCCACCCTGCCTGATCCTTCTTCGGCCTGGCTGCCGGGAGAGGGTTTGCTGCCCGGTGCAGGAGACAGCGCAGAACGAAAGCCTCCGCGGGAACTGGGTCCCTATCTGGCAATGGCGGCGGCAGCACGGAATTGATCGACGATGGGCAACGAACTACCGGCCGCCTGGAACCTCTCTTGGGGGGGGGTATCGCCGATATGGAAGACTTTCCCGAATGGGGATACAAGATGCTCGTGCTGTGTTGAGGTGGACGCGATAAGCCGAGATGGGCAGATGTATCATGAGGTCATTCCGCCGGGCCTGAGTGGATTGGAGTTCGAAGTGAGAAGCAACCGCATACACACTCCCTGTTGGGGAAAGACCAGGCGCCGAAGACTAACTAGCCCCGGACCCAATCGCACCACACAGACAGCTGGAGGGGAGAAGATCAGAGTGCTGTGCCGCGCCCTCGCGCTAGGCGCAGCCCTACCGCACCTGCACTAAAACAAGACAGCGCGGTGGTGGTAGTGGTGCCCCTGTTGCTGCTGCTTGTTGTTACTTGCAACCTCCATGAAACCTATTTTTGGAGGTCGTCCATTCTGCCCCCTCTCACCTCTCATAGGCTCAATCCACAGACCTCAACCGTTTTCTTCAGCTTCTTTTTTTCTCTCGACACCTTCCGGTCCAAGTCCTTCTTCCATGCTGTGTCACCCTTCGAATCCTCTTTTTGACAGTCTCCAGCCCTCCGTTCATTTCGTATACCTGTTTGGGCCTTGTCCCGGCCGGCTCGTCGCTTCGGCAGGGGGGAGGGGGGGGGAAGTGAAGAAAGGATGTATGGGCAACTCTGCACTTGCATACCCACCGACTTTTGTCGAAAGTCCCTCATGACGTAGCTGGACTGTCCTCGTAAAGTCAGTTCCTGTCTTGAGACTAGGCAGGTAAGCTACCACAAAGGTAAAAATGTCATGTCATTGCCTCCTACTAGCAGCTTGTTCTTCTACCCATGCAAGGAAGAAGGTATCTTGTTCAAGCGAGTGCTGCGCTGGATGCCGCGTCCACTCGACTAGCACGCGCATCCAAGCGGGACGAGTGTTCAGTCCGCTTCACCATCTACCATGCTCAGCCCAATTCTCATTTTCCTATTCCGGCAGGACGGCCGTGGAGCATCGTGATAATTAACTAGATCAGATCACGCTCCCGTCTTGGTGAACAATGGGGGGAACGGGTCCCAGGACGAGGAGGAGCTCGCCCGCCTTTTGCCCGTTCCTGCACCTATCATCCTTTGCACTTTCTTCTCTCTCAAAATCTCCGTTCATACATATGTAGGTAGTGCTGGTACCTAGCTGAGGATTGGAGAAAGGAGAGATCGTCCTGCTGGGCTGCCGATTGCCAAGCGCGGCATGCCCTACCCGATGTGGTCCGCAGGCCCGCGAGACGCGCGGACAGACGGGTCGCAAGTTTTCTGCACCTTCGAGGGAACAGACAGCCCGCCCTAGAGCTCCGTCTCCGCAGACCGCAGGCCCCCGTCCGGCGGTCTCCCGTCTCGGAGGAAACACCTGGTAAGAGTGCTCAAGGCCGCATCGCATGCACCAGCAGCACCCCTCTCTTCGCCCGGGGCAGGATTTCGCACATGGCACCTAGCTAGGCAATCAGGAACCGAAGGGGGGTGATCCTCTCGGGCGCGCGTCACTCGGGACCGATTGGGTTGCAGTGGGCGTTGTTTCAGTAGGCGAACGCCAGAGCGAGCTGGGAGAGCTGCTGCTGGATGGGGGGGGGGCCGAGTTTGTTGCGAACAGAGAGCGACGAGGGGAGAGAGGACTGGGGGGGGGGGGGGGGGCGGGGGGGGGCGGGGCCAAGGCGTCAAAAGATGCTACAACTAACTAGTTAACCACCCTTGCCCTTCCATCCCATCATCCTATGTAGTTAGGTCCTTGCGCGCCATTCCCAAGGTACTGAAGAGATGGCAATCTTTCCCGAGTTTCGAACTCGAATCAGAAGCTTAAGGCAAATTAGGTATTGCCATCCGAGGGAACCGCACCCTTGTCCGCCCCCCGGCATTCTTGGCCCCCAAAGGACCTTGGGGACCTTTGCTTGGCCTCGTTGGACCCCTGCGGCCCCCTCCCCATGCCCATGCCCTGCTGGCTGCTGCTGCGTTGTCACGCTTCCTTCCTCGTCTGTTTCTCGCCCGGTTCTCGCTCTCTCTCTCTCGTCTCCTCTTCCCAAGGTACTCCACACTGGCGGGTGGTGGGTTCGAGTCCGAGCCTTGGGAGAGCTCCCCGAAGGATAGGTAGCAAGCCAAGCCAAGCCAAGCCAAGCCTCCTCCCCTTCTGCCACAATTGCATGGACACAAATATGGCATGGGCTATTCTGGTGTTTGTAGTTACTTTGTTAAAAGCAACTGCCTGCTGTCTGTTTGCCTCTCTTGCCAGAACAGCGCCACCGCCGCGGCTTTGCAGTTATCAATCGCCATTCGCGTTACACCAAAAGAGGCGGAGAGAGTGCGTACTTTAGGCAAACGCGATAACCTTCCAAGGGATTGATTGGAACGGGGGGAGGGGAGGGGTGGTAGGTTGGCCAGTAGTAGGTAGTAACCGGCATATCCTTCTTTGCAACCTTGGGGGGAGGACGGCCGGGCGGTTAAGTGCCCTATGGCGTAGACGCAAATAAGCGGCGCAGTCTTCTCTTCCCGCCCGCGACAACATACAGATACGACATACGACGACGAGGAAGAGACCAACTCACTCTCTGTCCTGTCCTCCCCCGATTTGGCGCGCACCTCCGTTGCACCTTGCGTAACACAAAGCCTCTCCCGCTTGTTGCTTGTCCCCAACATCTCATGTTTTGGTCGTGCCCCCCAGGCCCCCCCCCCTTTATTAGACAGGAAAAAGGGGAAACACACCGAAGGAGATGCGCCGAGGAAACTACCTTACACTCACTCTCTCATGCATATACGCTCGGACGAAAAATTACACGACGAATCGGCCGAGCGAAAGGGGGAACAGTGTACGTACGTACGTACGTGCCTGTCTGTCAAAGCAAAAAAAAAAGAAGTTCCCGCGCGGGAATAATACTCGGTCGTACACCTTTCCCACTTGGGGTGTGGTTCCTGGGTCCTGCACTGCAACAAGGACAGGACCCAGACAGGAGGCAGAGCTAGCCAATGACTCTTTCTCATCCATCTCTCCCCTCTTTTCCCCTTTCTCACGGAGGAAGCACGTTTTTTTTTTTTTTTCCCTGATCCTTGCAAGGCCCTAGATTTACTCGAGCAGATTGAGAGATGCCATGCCATGCTCTTGTGCTCGGCCGGGGGTCAGGTACTGCAAGGAGATGCTTGGCCCGGAGGTCACGGCGGAGGGAACTGCTTTTTTGCTGCTGCTGCTGCTGCTGCTGTCTCCCATCGCCGGACCCCGTAGGGCAGAGGACAAGGTAAAATGAAACCTCCTGTGTGCCATGGCGGTTGCCTGAACTTTCTTGCCCTTTTTGAGCATGGTCCAACAAGCCAAAAAAGCAACGAGCAAAATGAGATAGGTCTGGCGGAGTTGGTCCCCGCCATCCTTGGCTGGGTACCCGCAAGGCACAGCTCGAGAGAGCTCGGGGTCTCTAGGTAGCACCATCCTGCTGGGTATGTTATGGGGTCAATATGGGTTGATGAATGGTGATGGGGGAGGGGGGGGGGGACCCTCGTCGGCCTTGGAACACAAAAGAGGGCAAAGATCTGGTGGAGACCCGGTCAAGATGCGAAAAAAGAAGAAGAAGAGACAGATACTCATCTACAAGTACAGATGTGCGTGCTCCCGTAACGCGGACACTGCTTCTTAGTCTTCCCGTTTTATATACTATGATCGGAGAGAAAGAAGAATAGGCAGACACTCGAGCAAGCATCCACCTGGTAGTGAGGTAGGTCCTCGGACCCGAGATGGGCTCCCCTGCAAGTAGTCGTTGGAGTAGTGTCTCGGGGGTTGTGAAGCGGGAATACCTGGAATTGCTCCTTTCGGCGCTAGCTCACAATGGCCGGGCTCCGTCGAGGGAACGCGTTGTGGGAACTCGTCTGTTTGGCCTATTCGGGCATGGTGCAAGGTCACTCCATCTGCCAGAAGACCTGTTCTTTGCATCAAGGGGCCATCCCTGAATCCTTTGGCCTTCTCCGGCGTTCCAGCAGGATCAGGTTTGAAGGAGACCTTTTTTGTTCGACGCCAGCATGGGAGAAGAGGGGGGGGGGGGGGGGGGCAGTCCCGTCCTCTCTGGTTTCCCCGGGGTGACTCGATCCAGAAAAGCCCTAGCAAAAAGAAAAGAGGAGGAAAGGAAGTCCGATAACTGAAATCAGAGACTGATAGGATCGGCGGATGCAATGATAGCGCTCCTCTGGGAGAGAGGTGGGGTAGAGGAGGCCAGTTTCTTGCCGGTCCAGCTAGCCTCATCCTTCCTTGCTTTGGCGTTACCTAGCCGCGAAAGCTCTTTCGGACCCGTAAAGTGGGCATTGCTAGCCGGGCCGTCGGCCTCGAGGTTTGCCCTTAACGCCGGGGGGCCGCATTCATGGGCTGATCAGCTGTCTGCAGTTTTGTTGATGACGTGTAGGTAACTAGTTGAAGGAGAGGGGAGGGGCAATGCTAGCCAGGTAGCCTTGGTTCGCCTGGGCTGGCAGAGAGAAAGAGAGGGAGAGAGAGGGAGGGAGGAGTGAGAGGAGAGGAGAGAAGAGACGAAAATGCATGCTGGACCGTTGGGAACCCCAGCGGTCTGACCCATGGTTCCCTGGAGGGCAGAGGCGCAGTAGTACGACGGCATGGCGCGCCACGGGTGAGATTCTTATTCTGGGTGCCGAGTCTAGACTCTGATCAACGGCCATAGGGCAGGCAAGTTGGTCATCATCATCATCATCACCATCGTCTTGCGCCTTATCACGCGGGCTGCGGAAACAAAAGACAAAGTCATATACCAAGATTGTGTTTAGAAAATAAAATAAAATTCGTTTGTTTTCATATTTCGCTTTCCTTCTTCAGAAGCAAGCATGTAACTGGTGTTTCCCAAGCAGACATGATCTAAAACCCCCCCCGTCGTAACCAATGCCTCCCGTCTTTGTGTGTGCACCAACCATGCTCTGAAGAATTGTCAAGCGTCGTGCCCTCGTCAGTGGACGAGGGCGAGGCGACAATAGAGAGCACCAGGAGACGAGCACTTCGATCCTGATACAGCCAGAAGTAGAGATATCCCTTGCGCCGCAGAACTCCCTCGGAAGAAAAAAAAAACAGGCGGCAGACAAAAAAAAAGAAAAAAAAAAACCGACCCAAGGATGAGAACAAGAAGCAGAGCCCAACGTATGAATGCCCCCAAGTCATATCGCGACAGTGTATATATGTCCCCCCATGAAACACTGCTGGAGAAAAAGCCCAGAATATCGCTCCGTCCGCGCGCCATTGCCCATAATACAAAGAAAGTTTCTTCCATGATCTCGTGACCCTCTAGGTGTAGTAGTGACTGGACACTTAGGGAAAAAAAAACAACGCCCCTCTCTCTAATGCTGAGGCTGCATCATGCCCGGAGAGCCAGGCATCGACAGCGGCGTGGTGGGATACTCGTACCCCGACTCGGAGCAGGCGGCCGAGTGGTCGAAGGAGTGTGACAGGGGAGGAGTCTGTCGGCGGTCAGACGCTCGCTCTTCTCTTGCTCTTCTTCTACTTTCTCGCGGTTTCTCAAGGACGAAAGGAAACAGGAGTAGGTGCAGCAGGAGCAGGGTGGGAATGGTGGCGGCGCAAGGAACTCACATGAGGGTTCGAGTTGTCGTACGGCGTGGGCGCGTTGATATCCATGCCGGGCATGTACCCGTAGTTCATGTAGGGCGCCATGGCGTCCTCTCCGGGGTAGGCGCTCTCGCGCTTGATGGCGTCGCTGAAGTGCGTCATGGAGGGCAGGGTGACGGGGACGGCGCCAGTGGTCCAGTCTCCGTACGACTCGGTCGGCATGGGCCGGTAGCTGGGGGCGGCAGTGCCGTACGAGGCCGGGATCATCATCTCCTCGGGCGGCGGGTATGCAGAGTAGAAGAGGGGAGGAGATTGCGTGCGGTCCCGGGTGTCGTAGGAGGACTGGAAGATGAGCTCGTCATCGGGGTGCATTGGCGGGGTGAATTGGCTGCTTTGGGGCATGGGCTTGGGCGGCTGGATGATGGTCTGCTGTTGCGCCTGTGCCTGCTGCTGCTGCTGCTGCTGCTTCTTTGGGGAAGATTGCGATTTTGACTTGGAACTGCTCTTGCTGGAGCTTGCGGGCTTCTCGCTACCCTCGTTGGAAGAAGCCCCGTCCGAGGTGCCAGCACGCCTCTCAAGGTCTTCCAGGCGGCGCTTGAGCTTCTTGCCTGTTACACAAACGGCCGATTAGTCCTGAGCTGGGGGAACCAAGCAGCACTACAGCTCTGGGGGAAGTAAATACTTACGGTAGTTGCGCTGAGCAATGCGGTTTTGTATCCTCCGGCGCTCGGCAAGATCGGAGATCTTGGTCCAGTCCTCATCCGGGTTGGCAGAGGCGCTGAAGGCGGAGCTGGTGCCGTGGTTCGCAAACTGCCTGGGTGCGGGCGGTGGCGCCGCGTACGAGGCGTATTGATGTTGTGTGGTGAACATTGTGTGTGTGTGTGTGTGTATGTGTGTGTGTGTATGAAAGCTAGTTTGGGGTTTACGTCTATGAGCGGTATGGCTGAGCTCGTCTGCCCGCGAGAGGTGGAGGGCAGCAAGGTGAGGTCTGGTCCAGGTAACAAGCAAGCTACGAGGACAAGCGAGGCGTGATGGTGTTGGAGTGGGAGTGTATCAACAAGTGACTTGTTGGAGGAAGAGATCTGGTATTGTGAAGCAAGATTGGTGAAAACCAAAGGAGACTGGTGGGAGGGTATGAGATCGATGGGGAGGGAGGCCTTGTTAAATATGTCAAGAGTCGACACTTCGTCGAGAAGCTGGAGGAGCAGGCTTGGTCCCAAGTTATGTACTCGATGGAGGTCCCTGGGCTGCTCTCGCGCAACACACACCCCTCCCCTCGTTCTAAGTCCCATGTCATGGGGGGAGAGCAGGGGAAGCAGCCCAGCGTCGGCACCGCCTGCAGCCCACCACCCACCAAGGAAGTCGACAGATCCTTGCAAGGATTGGCGGCCGGTGATATTTGGGATGGGTGCTGTTCCATCCACTCCACCGTCCCGTGGTGCGTGTCCCTGGTTGGCGTTTCTGCAGCCTGGCTGTAAGGCCAGGTAGTGTAGTGTAGGTAGGTAGTGTGTGGAGGGTACTCGAGCGAGGTACATGCTGGGAAGTACCGCGAGCCCACCTCGCTGGAGAAGAGCTGCGAGCGTTTTGGGACCAGATGCGAGCGTGATCCACTGCGGGCAGGGCTGGCGGATGCAGGTCGTGGTCAGTGATTGACCCAGAGGGCCGCAGCCCGTCGAGTAGGTACCTTGGGTACGGTCCTCGTACCAGCAAGCCAGCCAGCCAGCCAGCCAGCCAGCCCAGCCTTTTCAAATCGGGGACGAGTGGGTAATGCAACGTTGGGGTGAGTGAAGGAGGAGGAGAGGGCGGAGGTCCTTCTTTCGCAGCTGGGGACCTCATGCTACAAGCAATGCCTCGAACAGACGACGAGCGATCCTGTATGCACGCGGTTCCCCTGCGAGGTACACTGACTGGGCTGCAGCAGACCAGCAGATCGTACGGGAAAAGAGACGGAGAGAGGAATTGGAGGTGGGTGGACAAGCCCGACTAGGTACCGTGCCTGGACTCGGTACATTGGTAGGGAAAAGGGCGTGGAGAAGGGGAATGGGGGTGTGGTGGGTGTGTGTGTGAGAGAGGGTGTGTGCCGTGCCTGAGAAAACGGTTGCGCTTTGAGCGGGAGCGAGAGCGAACCTGAACGGCGCTGCGAAGCCACCAGGGGACAGGAAACGGTGGAAGATGGCCCCCGGAAAAGAGCCAATGAGCGGGCGCAGCCAGAAACCGCAGCAACAGCAGTTGCGAAGGGGTGTGTGCGCGTGTGATGGCTGTGGGCAAAATTAGAACAAATTTGCCCATTTCTGTTCTTGTCTCTTTGCTGCGACACCAGATCAGTGGGGGGATATTTCTGGCAGGTGGGACAAGCCGCAGCAGAGCAAAGAGAAGCTTCCAAGTCCTCCACACAGCTCTCCCTAGCACACCACCCACCACGACCACACACCTACTCCGTAGAACTCTTCTGCCTACGTCCACTACAAACTAGCCCGGGTCCGGAGTTTACAGGACGTTAACAACGATTCCCGCCCGCTCACGAGCACCTGCAAGCGCCCAGGTCACCACCCTCTTCGCTGCATGTCGAGCAAGTCAAGCAAAGTCAGGTAGGTGTCCGTGATATCGTTGCTAGTAATAGTGATGCGATAGAGGTACCTAGGTAGGTCAAGGTAGTTCGAGCAGTCGGTCTGTTTTGGAATTTACTCCCCCACTCTCCCGCTCCGATGCTGATAAATCCGACAGCCACCAAGAACCAAGAACTACTAGGGTAAGTAGGTAGTCTCGAGACGACGGTGGTGATTCAACTCGATGCTCTCCCCTCTCCCCTCTCCCCCACGGCCTGCCAAACCTTGCTGCTGATTATTCATCGATCGTCCATTACGGTGGAGGCAGCAGCACTCAATCGAGGGAGGGTCCCAAGGTAACCTTCCCAGCTTGGAGCGGTTGCTTGGGTCCAGGCGCACGGGACCCATAGGGCTGTGGGATCCAGTGATGTTCGCTCGGGTGCACGCGATCTGGCCAATCAGTCCGTGACTCCGCCCGTTTGAGCCTTAATGGCGTCCCGTTAATAGCGCTAAGCGCTAGGCGGCTCCTCATCAAACGCGCCGGCAGCTCTTATCCCCATCTGGCCTTTGCTCTTCCAGGACAAGAGCGAGACACTTGCGAGCTTCGCGGTCCGACTTCCTTTTAGGGGGGGTACGAATGCAGCTTGCTCGTCAGTGCCCGTCGTCTACCATAGGACGGTTCGCGCGCCCGAGCTAAAGCCTGCATCCCAATTCAGGCTCATTCTGGCAAAACACCGTCCTGCTTGTCCCTGCTAGGCTGCTACTCGTCTTTTGCGTTTCAGACTTGGACCACAGGCAGACAGACCGGCGGAGCACCAGCAGGGGTTTCGATGACGAGACGAGATCAATTGATGCAAGAATGGCACGAGCCCAGGCGCCTGGACAGGTTTGCTACGCCAATGTGTCGGTTCCTGAATGCCAAGCTGTTCGACATGCCCCTTGAAGGATTGCACTACCGCCGCCCACTTACACCAGTCTTTTCTTTTACGCCCTCAACACGCTCACAACCATTATCTATGCGTTGATTTGATAGGTTCTTCGCTAGTAGATACAGTGTACTTTGCTGGCCCCGTCACATCGTGTTTTCAGGCCTGAACTCAAAAACCCCAAAAGGATCACCAAGTCTGATCCGAAACCAACTCTGCTAGCAGCCGTGGTGGTGGAAATCTTTTTGTCTTTGCGGTCTCTGGTATACCATATCGCAAGCGCTTGCCTCTTTCCCTACGAGCAGTTCAATGGGGCTCCGCAGGACCCGTAAACTCACGAAACAGATTGTGATATAAGGTACGGAGTAGGGGGGCACTGAACTTTGTGAGCATAATGCTCCATTTCCCGGGCCACCGTTTTTAACTAAATCGATCCTGCTTTTGCCTACAGAGGTCCAAAATCCAAATCCACCCGGGGAGTTGCCCTGTGACAAAATGCCGGGATCCCTGGGATGGTCGATTGATTTGCTTGAGCTCACAAGGCAAGAAAATTACAGGGCTCAGACCTTCCAGAAAGAGGCACCAGACGAGATCCTTCGAGAATGGCCCTGCCAATGGAAAACCACACAAGGGACCCCCTTCTGGCCCTTCTGGGGCCCACGCCAATCCCTGGCACACCCAACGTAGCGCAGTGCACAACGCACCCAACAACACTTCCAACCAACAAACATGCACCAGCCAGCACATTCAACACCAACCTAGGTAGTTATCCACAAAACAAGATGAATCCTACGGCACTTGCGGCCGCCCTGGATCCGGGGTCTGTCGGGGATCCTCAAAGAGATTGGCATTGCAGCCGGGGGTCTCAACTCTAAGTCTAGTCAGGGTCCCAGCCGACCTGACCGTGAACGAGATGAACGAGATAACTAGCGGGCCTCGCATTCACAGGAAGGCCGACTGGGAAACTCAAATTTCGCCAGTGCAAGTAGGTACAATAATCGACCTGGGATTGGCCTTGTAAGGGCCAGGATAGCCGGAAAGTCGGGTCACCTTCGCCTGGACTGGGTGGTCGAGGGGCAGCCACGTGCAGAACAGCCCGCCAACGGACGCCCTTTCCAAGAACGCTATAGCTGCCAGTGGCCTATTTTTGGCTCAGCCCTGTGCTATTGGCAGGTGCATCCATCCATCCATCTCTTTGCTCCCAAAACACCACGCACTAACCCTCCTGAGTCCTCACCCATCCATCCATCCCTTGATTGCGGCCTTTTGCAATCGCCGCTAGCCTTCTTTCTCCCGCTGCCCACATTCACACCATCAATCACACTTGCATGGGAAAACCCGCACGACGGACGGCACTTAGGGACGAGCACATGTCAAGGAGATTAAATCTCTCAAGAGTCAATGCAACTGCCGGACGAAGGAATGCCCCCTGAATCATGCATGCCTCGACTGCCACCGTGCAGTGTGCACACAGGACAACAAGGAGAGGTCCCCATTGATTCAGCCGCGTCTGGGAGATGAGGAACCGACGACTCGTCTCCTCCAGGCCTGCTATCTCCGCAAACACGCAATGACATCCCCAATCCCTGAAGTTAGCGGCGGCCGCCCAGTGGAGACAGCCTTACCGGGGAAGAAGATTGAGTGGTCGCAGCAGGGCCAACACCCGGCTACGAGGGCCACTTTTACCGCCCGTGTCTCGGTCGGAGCTCCTTACAGCCACCAGCATCAGGCATGTTGTGAACACAGCGCGGTTGTTTCATACGCAGCCCACGATGTATGTACAGCACACTGATCCTTCGTCTCTTCTGCAGCCCCCCTTAACTAACTAACTGTACGGTGACACTCGTCTACCGGCAAACGACTCCTTCAACGCCAACACTCTTCCTTTACAAGCATGCATGATACACGTTCGTTGCAGACAGACATCAAGGTTGCCCCTGGATGGATAAGATTCCCAGTTGGACGATCACAGACCCCTGGAAATGAAGTTCATCTCGTCGAGGCTGCGTTACCGGTCCTGTCACTTGGTTACCTATGCTCCCGTTGGCATAACATGGCAACACGCTCACAACCCCCTCTTGTGTCCTTCACCGGTAAGCAGGATTGAAATCCCTGGCATCTGATCCCGCGTCATTTGACGCAACGGTCAACGTTCTCTCACCCGATTGGAAGCTGCAGGTGGTATCTTCAACGTTGATCACAGCACCCTCATATTGGGCTGACCACCCGTTCCGTTGGGACCCCAACGGCGGGCCGTGGACACAAAGAACAGGCTCGAGCTACTCGGACGGGGGATGATGAGCTTACAAGGGTAGCGCATGGCTTGATCGGGGCGACGCCTCCCTGGCGTGTTGCGAAACCGACAAACGGCTTAAGGTTCTCACACTCTCTTGACCGA